GCTGGCCCGTGCCCCCCGCCTGCTGCTTGCCGCTGCGGCCGCCGCCGCCGCCCCACTCCAACAGCTCTGCTTTTTCAGGGGGCGGCACCTCTGCGGGCCGGATCGGTGCCAAGAAGAAAGCTCTTTGGCAAATGGCAGCAAGCTGAGAAAGCAATGCCGATTTTTTAAATGGGAACACTTCTCCTAATGGTTTTATGAACTTGGAAATGTAAACCAGCACTGTATGAAACTCCGCTTCAAACAGCTGCTTTGGTGTTTCGAATGAGTCTGCAAAGTGTCTACCTCAGTGAAAGTACAGCAAAGGTCATAATTTTAACTATTTTTTCCCAAGTAAAATCAAATGCACTTGTTAGTATTAAAACTAATGCTACTTTATTAAAAACTCTTTTGTTTAACTTTATTAAAAACACTTCAAATATTATCAGATAGGTACTGCAGAGCATTGTGTATTTGTCATCTTTAAACAACACATATTTTTAAATGGTCTGTATTCACTTTTCGCTCTAGCTCTGAAGGACTACATACAATGTGTTTGCAGATAACGTGACACCAGCTGGTGTCAACCTCAGCACGCTCTGCAGAGACGGGGAGAGAGGAAGAGGAGGGACAGCGTCAGAAGGGATACTTGGGCAGTAGGCCCAGAGAGACCAAATAGGTAGGCAAAATAGGTATACACACAGAGTTGAAGGAGGACCCTTCATTAGTGAAATTCTGAGCGTTGGAAATGAGTACATTCAGCAGAAAAAAACCCAACACATATACTTCTTTTTCCATATGAGCTCAGCTTATCTTTTGGATTTTTAAATCATAGAATATCAGTTTACCTTTAAAAAAGCAGCATGGAGACCTCTTGCTTGACAATACATGTTCCCCTTCAGATGCTAAGACAGAAACCCTCACCCAAGGCATCTGCCTGCACAGGAAGGGGCGGCCTGGGAACGTGCCAGCAAAGCCCCTCTCCCAGAGCCACGGTGCTTGGCAAGGTGTCCCTCCAGTACAAGCAGGCAGCTAACCATGTAAATATTAATTATGAATTATAAGATCACACTGCGGAAAGCATCTGAGGATGAATCTTAAGGTTTCTAAGCAATCAACAAACTCCAAGAACCGTCCCGTTTTCCCCACTGGGCTCGAGAGCAGTCCCACCAAATGGTTGCGACCACTCAAAGCTGCGTACTCGCATCGCTGCTACGGCAGGGCAGCATGCCCCTATTTCAAAGGCGATGCTGACTTCGGCCCTGCAAAACCACCGGCGCTGATCATCCACGTTCTCCGTCAACGCTACATGCAGAGTACGACCAATTTCTTACAGTCTACTTTAAAATCGGAACCTTCTCACTCGTCGTTCTTCCAGATGGAGTTTTGCAAAACCCTCCAACGTGTGGCTGTGCGGGAGCCCCGCTCAGTATGCAGAGGCAATATCGCGAACGCGCTCTGCCGAACACAAAGCTGCATACAAATCCCGCGGGTGGCAGCATTCCAAGCCGGAGAACAAAGTTAAGGCGCTTGAATGTTACCGAGAACAAGGACACTCTTTAACTGATGCCTTCAATGGTCTCTCGGATGAGGTAACGATGATAATATCTGGTGCTTTAATATCACTCTCCATCTGCCAAGTCCAGGATGTTTCACAACTAGTGTTACGCTCAGCTTTAGAACATGCCTGGTTTCATTTTAGTTTTACTAACAGGAAAGCTAGGGTACATTTCTTTTCATGGCTATTTTTTTTTTTTTTCTGTTTGCAGTACACTTATAGGCAGAAACCGAGTATCCACCCATGTAAGTGTTTGGCTGCAAGTTCAAAAGATGTAGTAAGAGCCACTACTTCCGAGGTGTGTACCTACAACCCTTTTCATAGGCACACGTTTAGTGCGCAGCCTGAACAGTCAGTTCGTTGCGTGACTGAGAACAAGCTCTTGAAGAAGCGCCCTGCTCAAAGTTACTAACGTGGTAAGAGTAAAACTAAAGCGCTTTAAACATTAGACCGTCATTCTACCCATCAGCTTAAAGCAAAAATGAAGAAAAGCATTTTAGGCAGAATACAGCCATATAATCCCGACACAGAAACCCCTTACTGTGGGACAATATGAGTACAGTACCCTAATCACAGATTCACAGAAAACAGCGCTAGAAGGGACCTCAAAAGGTTATTCAGTCCAACACTTTATCTCACAGCAGGATTAGCTATACCTAAATCATTTCTGACAGATGTTTGTCTAACCTCTTCATAACCTCCCTAGGCAATTCTCGTGCTTAACTATCCTTACACTGGGAAGGCTTTTTTTTTTCTCCCTTCCATAATGTCTCACCTAAATCTTCTTTGTTAGTAGTAGGTAATTTAAACCTACTACTTTTTGCTCTACTCCCAGTGGACATGAGGAATGTTTCTCCCTTCTTTGCAGAGAAGTTGTACACACTTGAAGGTGATTATGAATATCTTTTCATTTTCTCTTCTTTAGATTAAACAATCAAACCTGAAGATTGAAAGACTTTCTTCTTACGCTTCTTTAGCTTGTGTTTTCCACACCTCTGCTGCTGTCCTCCGGATTATATCCAATAGTCTTCATCTTTGTTGAAATCATGCCCCAAACTCCACAAGATACAGATATTCTCATTTGATGCAGTATTCAGGCAGAATCCTTCAACTCTCTATAGCATGAATCTATAATCTATAGCATAAAACCCCCCCCCAATAGCTGTCATTCTGATATTAGCTGATTAACGATGCAAGATGCAGACGGAGTCGAATGTCAGGATTCTTACCTAACAACCCCACAAGTGGCTTTAGGAAGCTAATAAGATTTTTACAAGAAGAATTAGGCAGGCAGTTTCAAATGGAACGTGCTGTTAGCATAATAATTCCTAAGTTATTTTACTTGTTCTTGTAATTAAGAACTGTGATGTAACATATCTCTCAAAAGCCATAAAAGCCCAAATTGTCTCTCCTTACCTAAATACTTTTCTAAAAAAAATAACCATTCAGTGAAGGAAGAAAGACAGGTTGGCTTTACAGATTAAAATAAAAATGACAGGTCAAAGTGTATGCAAGAAACACTAGGGATTCTACAACGGGAGATGAAAACATTAAAACACAAGGA